ATATATATATATATATATATATATATATATATATATATATATATATATATATATATATATATATATATATATATCATTTTTATATAAATTATTATATTCAAAATAAAAGTGAAAATCATGGTAAAAACAAAAATATATTGCCATAAAAATATTAATAACCTAAACCAAATAAGATAAGATAGAACATGAAATTATTTTTTGTATTTTTTTTAATTTTTGTAAAAATAGAATTAAAATTAGTAATAAAGTAAAATCCTATAGAAATAAACCCAAAAATATTACTAGGACTATTAGAGGTGATTCTAATGCGTGAACCAAAATTTACATGTCTAGAGTGTGGATGAAATTTTATCAGATTGTTTATCCTCTAAAGTTGTGGCTATTAATCCTTGAAAGTGAAAAGAGACAACGATAGTGACCTCATTAGTCTAGTATTCCATTCCATGCAAGGAAAATGAGTTGACGGTAAAACATTCACCAAGTTACAACATACAAGTCACGAAATCTTTTCCTTATTTTTTTTGTTGACATAATTTAGGAAAAATATTTCTCAAAAAATTAGGAAAAATATTTCTCAAAAATTAGGAAAAATATTCTCAAAAATGAATTTATTTTAATGATCATAACGAATTGTTGGCTGAAATTAAATACCTATCGAGTTTCTGTTTAAATATATCTCTCTTTCACCACTACAAACTGAGACTCAGTTATTTCTTTTATATATGGGGGTCTAAAAACCAGCCTCCGTTACATATCCACCCCACCAAACTAGCCATCATTGCAAAAACAGCGTTATCATTGGCATAGGTAAAGTATAGTCAGTTGAATATTTTTTATTGATAAATTATATTACGCATATAGGCTAAATTTCACCATTAATCGAAAAATTATAGTATTGAATATGTAAAAATAGGTTAAAACTTACTTACCATACGTATATCTTAGTAATTAAATGTGTATTCAGATTTAAACATTTTAAATTTATACAGAATGAATTTAAATATGGAGAGTATACTACTCAAAATTAATTGAACCTTTATGTCCCTCTATAAAGATAGACAGAGACGTAGGGGATACTAGTGGTAAGGTAGCAGAGTAGAGCTGTTGTAGACTTGTAGGAGTAGGAGTAACAGTTTTGGCTTGTTAATTGCCTTCTCGGCCACGTTGGTCTGTTCAGCAACCGTATATGCACATTTTATAGTTTTTACTAATAAGCACATTTGAGCAAATTATAAACATCACTATTATTACAGGTACATAGTCCGGTTCAACCAACAACATACTTGTTCACCCTCAAAATTGAATAATAATAATTGAATTTATACGCGGTTTTAAGGATATGTGATATAACTTGATACGAATTAAGAAAATAGATTAATACTTAAATTAATGATAAAAAAATAAATGCAAACCACACAAATTGAACAGTCTTAGCATTGGAGTTTGATCACCCTCGAGCGAAGAAGTGCCTCAATCGATATCAAAACAGAATAACAAGAAAATAAGAATTAGTAATAAAGGTGTGTTGCCTTTTGATGTGTCTTACAATGTCTATTACAAATAATCAGACCCCCTTTATATAGCAGGGGAGTCCTACTTTAGATACAATTCTACAAAAGATAATAAATCTCATGATTTGCTAATTAATTGGTCACTCGTTGACACATGCCGAGATTCCCGCCGTGATATCCAACCAGTTACGGATATTTCGTCTTTCCATTATGCGGTATGATAATATTTCCTTGAGCTTGATCGGAGTCGGGGTCGGTTCCTGAGATACGGGCTCAATGGTGTTGAAGATGCATGCTCTAGTCTTCGTGCCTTAGTTCATATAATCCGGGGTCGATCTTTAACCCGTCACATTTCAACCCCGGTATGCCATGCAATAGATGAACTCGATTTTTACTGTATACAAATAGTCCCCTCGCTTTTTAGAGAGTAAACGATGAGAAACGATATGATCCCTCGATCTTCGTCTCGATTCTTCGCGCCAAAAACGACAAAACTGACGAAATGTCTTGTCAGTCATGTCTTTAAAGGCATTTAATGTACGTTAGTTGCTAGTTGGCCATTATGGGTTTTGAACCATCGTTTGAAAACCATAAATACCCAAACTTTCATTCATTCAAACTTTACGTTTAAACCTTTTATACTCTTGTTCTTAAAAAACATTTGCATTATCTAATACTCGTACCAGATTTCTTGAGGCTTTTGCAAGAACTTTCGCCTCTCTTTATTCCAAAACATTAAGTGTGACCTCTTAACTTCCTCTTCTTCATCTCTATTCAAAAGGAAAAATGGAGAAAACTTCTAAGACAGTTCTGCAGAAAGAGACTGCCTCTTCATCACGACCTGCCGGCGAGGGACCAGTGGCGGAGCCACACTCTAAAGAGTTTGTTCCTAGTGGGTGCTCGACCGGTGCTGATTTCAAAGTCGAAAAAACTTCTTCAGTACCGGGTTGATGCAAGCCGATTTCGAGATATATATGATCGATAACCGATGATCTCCTCTCCAACGTCAAAGAGGATTGCAACTGGGCTGATAAACATAAGGTGGTGCCTTCACCTGAGGAAGCAATTACTACCCACGTGGAGGGTTTTTTAAGTGTTTACACTTATCCCTTCACGTTGGGTCCCTTAGACCCGTCATCATTGTCTTCTACAAGAGGTATGAGGTGAATCTCGGTCAAATTCATCCCTCTTTCAAGAGGATAGCGATTCTCCTCCGCTTTTTGTAAACAAAAGCGAAGGGTGTCCCTTCACCCTCGATCATCTCATGCGCCTGTATAGTACCCGACTCTATCGAGGGGTATTAGTAAAACTTTCCCGTCGGGCCAGTAAGGCCCCATTATCAAGTATAGATGAGGATCAGGATCAAGACTGGATGGGCTTATTCGTTCGAGTGAAGACCTCAGATTTAATCTCGGCCGAGAACGTGCCATTTCCTGAGAAATAGAACATGAAACGTAAGTATAACTCTGCCTTAAAGATTTTGTTTATCGTTTTTTCTTTTTCTTTCCTTATTATTGACATTTTGTGGTGCAGTCATTGCCCGAATGCCGAATTCCATTTCTCAACTCAAGGAGTGGATCGAGGACCTTATGTCACAAAAACCCTATTCCGAGCGCGTGGCGCGAACTGTCGAAGGGCCAGTGAGAGGTCCGTTCCCATGGTAAGTTTTCTTTTCCGATTTAATAATATTTGATTTTTTTCTCGTGCCGTTGAGTTCTCATTGGTTCCATTTTCTTTTGTAGGTCTCCCCAAGGATATTTCCATGAGGCCTCTATCCAGTGACGAGGATGTGCCTCTTGAGTCCTCTGCTCCGAGGTAGGGTGATGAGAAGAAAAGGAAGAGGGCCTTGAGTTCTCCGAACTCGGAAAAGAAACAACCAAAGAGGAGGCCAGCGCGCAAACCCAATGAAGCACCGGTGCTCTACCCTCGGACTCAGTCCACCGGCTAAGGGATGATTTCGAAGAAGAAGAAGAAAAATCTAATGGGTGGTCCACATGCGGTCAGGTGTCGTGATGCGAGAGGCCTCCGAACCGACGGGTGCTGAAACTGAATCGTCTCGACATGGGGAGGTCGATGAGAGAGCTTTAGCCGAAGCTCCTGAACCATAAGGGGGCGAGACCACTCCACCCCGAGATGGGGCATCCGATAATGAGATTATAGCAGATTCTTACCAGATAGCAGATAGTTGTCCGAAGGGCATACCTGGAGTAATAGACCTCCCCGGTTCGCTATTATTTATTGAGTCTATGATTGCCGATGCTTAGGCTCTAAAAGAACGATCCACCAAAAAGCCACAAGGGGCGGTAGATACCTTTAACAGCTTCTTTAATGGCATAGACTCTACTGCTACGTAGGATGTCACTGGGTTGGGTGATATACCAGTGCTGAAGAAGAGTCCATCGAGTGGACCTGCCTCGAGCCCGAAATTAGTCAATCGGTTCCCAGCTCCGAGTTTGAATCCTGACCGAAAATGGTCAATTGTTATGTCTATCCCAGAAATGCCTAGGTTCTTTCTTCCCCCATGGGGGTGGCAAGTTATCTTTGGTGCTTGGTGACCGAGGAGGATCAGGCCAAGATGAACGATGTGGAAGTGCCTTGTTTGTTCAACAAATCCCAACAGACATTAAATTAGGTAACCCCAGAAACCTTTTAATAATTTTTAGTATGTAAGATTATTTTGTAGATGATTGTAACTCCTCTCCATGTATTTGTAGGCTTTGGTACTCCATCATGAAACGTTCCTCCGCTACCGGGAAGAGCTGAACCAATACCAGGCCGAGATCCGAGGGCTCACTGAGAAAAGAGACGCTTACAAACTTCTTAGTGAGCAAAGGTAAGGGGAGGCTAAGGGCCTCCAGACTGAGTTGGAGGTGGCTCGGAAAGAGCATGCCGACTTGGCTGAGCAGGTAAGAAGAATTTTTGAAGTTAGTGATGAAGAATCGGACATGGTGACTAATGGTACAAACCCGCAGATCCAACAGA